ATGCGTACATTTGGTAAAAAAAAGTAGAAACAAAATCAGGGCTGATTGTATTATTTATTTATTTTTTTAATTTGTCCCCTTTTCTACACAGAAGGAAAAACCCCTTTCTAACCCTAACACCTAACCTAAACTTAACCCGGTTTACTGTTATTTTTTTTTTAATTTTCCCCTTTTAATTTAAAAAAAAAAAAACTTTATTGTATTATTTAATTTGTTCTTTTAATTTTTCATTGCTATTCTACACGGAAAGAAAGGTTCTATTCTATTATTTAATTTGTTTTTATTATAAAAAAATCTACACTTAGCAAAAAAAAACAAAAACAAATGCAATGCTTTACGGTAGTGCGTAGTGATTTTCTGCACCAAAAGTCTGTAAAAGAAGTAAATTGGTCAAAATTTCTGATTACGCCAGCGGAAGTACCCCGCACTGGATTACTGAACATTATGGCAGTAATGGAGGCCGAATGACCAACAAAAAGTCCGATTTTTCTTGTCGATAGCTCAAAAAATGGTAGACTTCTTCATAATTTAACTGTTAATTCGAGTTTAGCATGTACATTTACACAGAATTGTGACGATTTGGGAAAATTATAAGAGACTAGCAGCATGGCGCGGCGTTGCCCGTACTTGATTCAAAAATCGTACGACTCATACAGCAATCGCTATCACTTGACTTAAAATATGTTTGCCCTTGCTTGCCTTTAAAGGAGTGCCCTTTGCCGTGCTAATGTTGCTACATGCCTTACTTCTTGCCTATCTCACACTTCGAATTTTTTCTAAGCTCAATACTAAACATTAAATCTGTTACGAAAAAAGAACTAAACAAAATGAACACAAAACGATCAGCTTTAAAAAAGGAATCATGACTGGAAAAACCGAATGAAAAAAGAATGTTAACAACAAATACTTTTTCACACCAAACCCAGTTCTGCGGAATCAGAATCAACGTTGAGTTTAAGCAAGTGAATGAGCCAACTGGAGTAAAGTGCCATGTAGATTTAAACTTTTCCCACTTGTGACGAATGCAGCTATTGATTTTTTTTTTTTGCCTGCTAGCATGCTAGTTAACATTCGTGTCAGTCAGCTGTTGGCTCTCACGCTGGCCAATAGAATCTTCCTGCCTATTCGTGTCAGCCAGCTATAGGTTCTCACTCTGGCCAGTAGAAAATGGCTGCAAACTACATGAAAACTGCCGTAGAAGCATGAAAAAATCCATTATTTCCACTACCGATGGGAGTTGGGAAATGCAAAGTTAGTCTTGGCCTTCCCGCTAACTTGGAGCATGTGCATGTAAATGTTAGTGCAAATCCGTCGAAAATTGCGGCCGTGCATTCGTTACACACACACACATCCTGCCTTTTATAAATAGAGATATTTAGCGCGCGGATGTTTGGGCGTTAAAAAGCAAATTTATCAATTATTTTTCACTCTACACTCGCTTTCCCACTAACGAAATGTTACTAGTCTCTTGCTATATCTATGCTAAATGCTCTGACGAGTTATGTTCATTAGACCTTCACAGCTAAGAATCGCTTTGCCATGAATCCTGGGAGGAACCAATCCCATTCCATTTGTTTTGTTTTGCTTTACGGTATATCAACCTCAATGTATTGCTGGCAATATTTTTTTTCTTTAAAAATGTATTAATAATTTTTCCTCCAAAAAATTTATTGCTGGCATTAAAACCTATCCGACACTTTTATAGTGTTTTGACCCCACCTTTTTTGCGGGGGGGGGGATTATTTGCCTATAGTTTGGACCCTAACAAGTGCTGCCACCCCAGGTAAGAGTGGACCTGAGAACACTAGCAATTAAGAGATGGTTCTACTCTTCTCAAAACCTCTTTGCTTTCGGATATAGTTTATCGTTTTACCGAGAACGTGGATGTAGTTTATTTTCATACCGGGGACGTCATTCCATTGTCTTCTATTTGTAAGAAAGAAGTTTCCTTCGGACAAATTCTTTCCAAGAACAGTGACTTTGTGGAGCAGAATCTCAGGTTCATGCTTACTTGATTGCTATAAAAGCTTTTCTATCTATCCTAAATATCCTGAAAATCTACAACTCTTACATCCGCAAAACAACTCCAATCAGTAAAACTCTACCTTGAGTGACTCTTGGTCCTTAATAATAATAATATAGTAGGCAGAATGTTTAACCTTATAGCTACAAAAATTTTTGCAATGTTGATACTTCTACGGGCTGTACATCATTTACTTACAGTAAGTTTTCTTGTCTTGTTTTGTTGTTTTCTTTTTCTTAAAAAAGTGAGGGGTGACTTGAATCAAGTGAACTTTGTCAAGTTTATGCTCAGAAATTTACATTCGAAATCTTTATATGCTTCCGTTATTGAACAACTACTCCAAACACCAATGGCAAATTAGCACGGATGTCCACAAGCAGTCACGCCTGGAAAGTGAATTTTATATATTAGTTTCTGTGTCTATCGAGTCATTTGCGTACAGACAAGTAAACAGTGTGTTGCCGACGGCAGAGTCGACCAAACCAATCTTCAGCGAAACATATCAATATTTTGTGTGCGCCTGTGATAGGGTCTGACAGCTCGAGGAACAAAAATACCGACTTGGTTTGTTAAATTATATTTACTGCGAAATATTTACTCCAGAAGAAACCTTTTTTATTCGATTGTAAACTTTAAGGAGTAGGTTACATAATTATCACATCGACACACACACACACACACACACATACATACATATATTCATACATACATATATTCATACATAGATACATTCATACATGTATACATACATACATTCATATATACTAGTAATAATAAACATTATTTTGATTTAATTACAGCTAATTTCATTTTTATATTTTTAATTCATTTATTCATTTATTTTTTCATATTTATCAATTTTAAAATCCTCCCCGTAAATCATATGGACTGCTCCACTATGATTATATTCCGATACACACACACACACACACACACACATATATATATTATTTATGTAACCGTCTCTTCTACTCCAATAATTTCATGTCTCGCACCTCTCGCCTGTGGAACTCCTTCCTTTTTCCCTGATAGCTATAATCTTCAACTATTCAAATGTAATGTCAATCGTCGTCTCTAGATGCTCTGATCTATCCCTTATCCTTCTCTTCATCCTTTCCTCTATCACTCCTCTTTTCTCTCGTTCCAACTCTTTGTAACCCCATGCATGCTAGTGGCTTCCCGCCTTGCTTGGGGTGAAACGCTTAAATATTTATATATATATATATATATATATATATCATAAACTCACATCAATCCAACTAAATATATATATATATATATATATATATATATATATATATATATATATATATATATATATATATTTAGTTGGATTGATATATATATATATATATATATATTTAGTTGGATTGATGTGAGTTTGTGACCCTGTGATTCACGCCCTAGACATCGTCATAAAAAAAAAACAACAAGAAAAAACCATACCAAGTAACGCAGATCGATACCCCTAACAGCACTGTTACATAAACTACCATGGCCTCTATGGACACGAGGCGATAATCCATTAACACCACAATACCTTTTTACAGCGTCTACCACTACTTTAGTTACCGACATTGTTACCACCACCGTATGTACCCACCGCAAAATAACTAATACCATTGTTACCACCTCATACACCTTACCCACAAGATTCGTACCGTTTTTTACCATTGCCTTTGTTTTTACTATTACCATCATTTATTTATTAGCACCTCCACCACCATCTTTACCATCCACCATTTCTATTATTTTCTACTTTATTCATTAATTATTCCATTATTACCATCACCTTTTCCACCATTATTTATGTATTATTTACTACTTCAAATTTTAATTGTAAATTTATCATTATTTTTTATTACAACTTATTACATAATTAATTATTTATTCCAACTACCATCAAACTTATTACTATTATCATTTCACTACAATTACTATCATCACTACTACTATTACTACCATAATTATTTGCTGCTACCACTGTTATTGCCATTATCGTTTATTTTTACTATTACTACCAAACCAATCCACACCCCAGCTATCATCACTAATTATAATTTACCATCGGCATTGACCCAATATTGTAATTTTTATTTCAGTCATACTATTCGTTTATTTAATATTGTAATTATTATGTCATTCTTAGTATTTAACCTCCGATCATTTGTCATTAATCCCATTATATTTTAGTATTGTCATTGCTCTCAACATTACAACTATTATTTCATTCTCACTATTTCGCCACCACCATAATCACCATCGCCACATTATTTTACAATTATACTCTCCCCGCGCTATCAAAATTAGTGCTAATTTACCGTAAAAATACCAGTAAGCATTATAAATTAGAATTTCTACTATTTATATAAGTGTAATCGTCTACAACACGCAAATAAGCAACGTTAAAAATAACTCTTTAAGAATCGTTAAGAATATCTCTCATAATCTTATACAGAATCCATATTAAGTAATGCAAAATATAGAAGAATAGAAATATATACCCACATGCACATGAGTATAAGTGTGTGTGAGAAAGTATTATTCCGTTAACAAAATAGCCGAACGATATGTAAGATGACTCCAGCCCGCCTCTTATTGAGGACATTCGTTACACAGTTCAAACACCAAAAACGACCATTGTACCAGTCCCTTACTGCTTATATAAGTATATGTTTGTGTGAACTAAAATACCTACAGCTGCATATATGCATGTCTGCGCACGTATGAGTGTCATCCTGAAACGGACTCAGGAGAGAAATTTTCCTCCCATTATCATCAAACACCATCATACATAACCAATAAATCGACTCAAAATTTTAAAAATTAATCAGTTTGTCTGATAATCGCAAGGACGTGAAACCCAGGGTCACAAATTCACACCAATTCAACTAAATATGTTACCTCAATTACTGATATTGAGCTCTCTCCAACAAGTACAGCGCATAATATAATATATAAATAATACATATAAAAATTACATAGATAGATAGATAGATAGATAGATAGATAGATAGATAGATAGATAGATACAAACCACTCCCTGGAGGGGGTATATACATTCAGATACTTATCGGTCACAGAGACCGTCCCTACGCTGGTAGTATCACAGCTATGATTACCTTGGACAAGGTAAGAACAGCTACGACTAGCTTGGAGCGGCTCTGGCCAGCTTGGGCCAGCTAAGACCTGCTATGAGTAGCTTACACTTGCTTGGACAAGCTATGACCAGCTAAGACCAGCGGCCCGAATGAGGACACTCAGGTCCCGGGTTAAAAACCGACTTTGTGTCACAACCTGACTCAATGGGGAGTCAAGTAAACTCCACCTTACTGTGGTATACACATTCGGATACTTGCCCGTCACAGGGATACGACCCTGCGCTAGTAGTACCACAGCTATGACTAGCTTGGACCAGCTAAGAATAGCTATGACTAGCTTAGACCAACTCTAACCAGCTTGGACAAGCTATGACCAGCTAAGACCAGCGACCCGAATCAAGACACTCGCGTCCCCACGTTAAAAACCGACCTTGTGTCACAACCTGACTGAGTGAGGAGTCAAGTAAATACAAACCCCTCTCTTGAGGGGTTTGTACCACATATATATATATTATCTCTCAGTTGTGTCTTTGTCTTTGGGCAGAGTGCACTCAGGGGCAACTCCGTCAGAGGACAGAGTCACAACTGAGGAAAATTATACTGAGAGGTGCCCAGCCCTGGGGAACAGCTGCCCGAGGCCGCGCCCTCTCATTGCACCAGAGAGAGGGATCGGTGCTTGCACCGTGGCTAGCGCAACTGACGGTTGCAGGGGCTGCGGGCAATTTTTTTTTCCTGTCCGGGGTGTACGCACTCGGGTCCCCACCTTAAAAATAGACCTTGTGTCACAACTCGTCTTAGTGGGGAGACAGAGTAAAACCCAGTGTGTAAATTCCTCTTTCTCGAATGGTATACACATTCTGGTACATACCGTGCATAGGGATTCTCCCCTGGGCTGGTAGTATCACAGCTATGTCTAGCTTAGACCAGCTCTGACCAGCTTGAACAGCTAAGACCAGAGGCCCGACTAAACACATTCAGTTAAAAAACCGACCCACAACCTGACTCAGCGGAGGGGGGTCAAGTAAATACATAAAATATTCTGATACTTACTGGTGAAAGGGTGGTTACACAGCTATGATTAGCTTGGACTTGCTCTGACCACCTTGGGAGAATTGCGCTCAAATTTCGAATTTATTCTTAGAGATGATTGTTTTATATTACTTATAAGCCGGACTCTTTTGGAGAAATTAACTCATCATTTTTTTCACAACTACTGCCATTTTTAAAAAAATCTGCCCTAAATCGTAAAATAAAAACTGCAATAAACTATCTAATTATGAAATTAGATTGGCTTTCCTTTGCTTTTTATAAATAATATACATTAAGGACATTATTATCTATCAAACCTTTTTACCATAATTAAAAATATATATATATATAATATATATATATATATATATATATATATATATATATATATATATATATATATATATATATATATATATATATATATATATATTTTGTGCGTCAAAATGTTATACATTTTTTAGCATGATATCTCATTGGTTGAGTTTAAAATGTCACGTTTCAAAGCTTGTCTCTTCCTTGTAGAAACCCCCTAGACATAAGGTCTTATCTCACTCTCAGTTATTAAATTAAAATTAAATTGAGATAATAATATTATCTCATTTATCAATTTTTCAGTGAGATATTTTAATTATTAATATAATAATAATTTTATTAGTTATTATCTTTTATAAAATTAAAAATGTAATAACTTAATATAATATTAATAATTAATAAAATTATTTATCATTATCTTAGCTATTAAATAATGAAAAAGATAGAGGTAACTCAATAATGTAAGAAATTTTTATAGTATTTTAAATTATTATAAGAAACAAAAAAAAATGTTATGTCAATTTTGAGGCACCGTACTAAATCTGTCAACACATTCCGCCATCAAATTATCGATGGAGACGTAAAAATAACAAGATCCTGAGGTCAAGAAATGTTTGTCTAGGAAGTTTTATGCTATAAGGGATATTTGTTTCAGAAAAGATTAATTTAACTTTAAATTTGCTAATTTTACGAAATTTACTTTTCAGAAATGTATATATTATTTTAGCGAGATTTTCAAATCCGAAAAATAAGTTCGTTTACATTTCTCTAAAAGAAATTAAAATTGCCGTTTCGATTGGTTTCTCGGAAGCATCGACGAAAAATCATTCACATTTTCTATCTGAAATACTCCACCGTATTATTTTCTTCTGGAATTAGCAAAATTAATCCTTTAGCTTTCAATTGAAGCGGTTCGGAAGCCTCGAAAAGGATTGTTTTCTTTATGAAAAATACATTTAAAACTTAGGTATACGAATTTTTCGAGGTACCTACTTTTTTGTATTGTACGAATACTTTTTCACCCATTAAAATAGGTAAATGGGATTTATTTCTATTAAATCAATTTTTTTTATGCATATTTAGTTATTATGCATCTGTGTACAGTTAATTACTTGAAAAGTATGTTTATTCATTTAAAAAATTGTATGTGTACGAATATTTGTTTCCCCCACTGTATATGCAGATGGCGCAACAGACATAGAAAAAAAACTACTAAAACTTGTACAGAAAATACTAACGTAAATGGAGAATAAAGGACTAAACCTCAATTGTAAGAAGACAGACTTTATGATTGTCAACAATATAAGAGCCAAACATGCAAAATAAATTGTAGATTTGAAAATCAAGCAAGTATAAAAATTTAAATATCTAGGAATCGTTCTAACAGAAGACGACAAATAAGACAATGAAATTCAAACGTGCATTGGGATCAGTTATGTGCCATGAGTGAAGCGATCATGTATCCTTCGATACATGACTGATGAGGCAGATCTTTCTCCCGCAGTAGGTTGCCATTTCTTTCTACGGTAGACTAGTTGCCATTCAAGGCTATAGATACTGTTCTGCCTGGCTATTTACCCATAGCTATGGGGAGAAGAAGAGGATTCATACCTTTCCCAAGGATATTAGCACGAATCGATTACATTCATTTACATCCTAATACCCTTGAGAAAGGTATGAATCCTCTTCTTCTCCCCACAGCTATGGAAAAATAGCAGAACAGACCGGGTTTTATTGCTTTGGATGGCAACTGGTCTACCGCAGAAAGAAATGGCAACATACTGCGGGAAAAAATCTACTTCGTTAGTGATGTATCAAAAGATACATGATCGCCTAAGCGTGTATCATGCACGGGACATAATAAACTGACTAGGTTGCCATCTCGGTCCCACCCTCTTACTGTTGAAACCGTTAAATGTAATCGTCTCTTCTACTCAAACAGCCTCATCTCTCGCACTTCCCGACAGTGGAACTCCTTTCCTCTTACTTCTTCCATGATAGTTATAACAAATGTTCAAATGTAATGTCAATCGACATCTTCTGATGCATTGATCCTAATCCCCGTCTTTCTCTTTATCCTTTCCTCAAACACCCCACCTTTACACTTACTTTCACTCTCTATAACCCCTTATGTGCTAGTGGCACTCCCGCCATGTTTGGAGTGAAATGCTTGAAAAAAAAAAGAATTAAAATAAACAAAAATAAATCCATAATTAATGAGGTTTTGCTATTAGTATTACAAATAAATTAGCGTTTTTCCTTATATATCTGTAATATTTTTCACTGCTATGAAAGTGTTGTAGAGTAGTTTTCACAGTGGAGGCTTGTATTTCAATAAGTCGTCCTAAATTAGATTCGACGTACAAAACGTTAGGAACTTGGAAATAAGAGTTAATGACGCAGCAATCTAGTTGTGATGGTTGATACTTCAATGTCCGACATCGACTGACTCACTCAATACCACTGAGCCGAACTGGCGACTGCTACTACTACTTATTACCTGTGGGAGAGTCCATTACAATAGAATAGGTATTATGGCATAACAGAAAGTGAGGCAACTTATATGATGTTTTGAAGGTGTATCTAAAATCTAAGCAAATATTAAAAGGACAGAACATTTCGTTAGAAATAAGGAGAAAAAAGTTGAATTCTTATCTAATATCTCTCCTCCAACATGTCAGTGAGCACTGGACAATCTCGTCAGAGATTACTTACATTATTTACATTATTCGGACTGCTACATTATTCAGACTGTTATCCTCATCTTTATTGCCATATTCCCAACATTTCGGCCGTTGTACTTCGGCCTTCTTCAGATGATTGAGTCGTCAGGATAACAGCTCAAATAAGGTAAGTAATATAAGTAATCATAATACCTTATCTCATATATATAGACAGATACTCGTCTGAGATGGAGAAGAAAATTTAGGCTACAGAAATGTGGTTCTACAGAAGGATGTGGAAACAAAAAGGATATATACTTGAAAAAAAAAGATAACTGAAATTTCAAAGGTATATTATGAGAAAAGAGGACCTGGAAAATTTGACACTCACGAGGTATATTATAAGTAAGATTGACAAAAGAAAGCAGCGAGTAACATAAATAACGAGTTTTTGTAAAAGGTTCGCTGATCAAAACTTACTAAGAGCTACAAAGGTCGGGAAGTCGGAAAGAGTCATGTTCACTAACGTCCCGAAAGGACACGGCATATAAAAGAGTAATGTTTAGCGAGATAGAAATATTCTGTTTGTCTTATTTTAGAAAATCTATTAAGCAGATTACATCGTGGGATTTCACTTCATTAATTTTTTTTTTATATTTCAACATATTTTTTTAAATATTTGTTTAGATTGTTTTTTACATTTTTAAATCTGAATTCCTTTTTTTTAATCACACATCTCGACGATGTTGCACTTTTAGTGTGAATAATATCTTTAAAGCTATTTAATATTTAATTCTCTAACCGATCGGACGGACGCATTTCCTTCAGAGTAAAGACGTCCTCATGTTAGTAGGATTTGCAAAGTCAAATACTAACATGTTGTCTCAGTTTCGCATTATCGACACAAATATTTTTTTCGGATAGTACCGTGTCCGGCAAAAAAAAACACAAAAAAAACCATCAGTTGTACATTCTGGAAAATGCTCGTTTTAAAGCCACTTAAACACTTCTACTTAGAATCAGGAAGTGACAATTGAAATTTCTCGGGAGGAGTGAGGGATTTTTTGAATTTGACACACAAAGAACTTATTGCAGGCAAAATGTAGAGAGGAAAAACAGTAAATAGCCCGCCTAAGGAGCTTGTGTACTTGTCAATGGTTGGCAGAACAGGGATTACGAGGGATGGAAAAAAACAAACAAATTACTAAAGGCTACAAATCCAATATATCTCCGTCCTGAAGAAGATAAGGAGGAAGAAGAGGTGGAAGAAGCAGAAGAAGAAAAAGAAGAAGAGAAAAAAAGAGGAAGAGGAAGAAGTAGCAGAAGAAAAGGAACAATAATAAGAAGAAGCATAGAAGAGCGAGAAGGAAGAAGAAGAAGAACAAGAACAAGAATAACAACAACAACAAGAAAATAAGAAGAAAAAGAAGAAAAAGAAAAGGAAGGAGAAGAAAAGGAAGAAGATGATGAAAAGAAATAATTATAAGAAGTAAAGGAAGAAGGAGGAGGAAGAAAAGAAGAGAGAAGAAGCAGAAGGAGAAGAAGGAAAAATAGGAGGAGCAAGAAGCAGAAAAAGAAGAAAGAGAAAAGGAATATGAAGAAGTAGAAGAAAAGAAGAAGAAGAAAAGGAATAATAATACGAAGAGGAGGAGTAGTATTAGTAGTAGTGGGAGGAAGAAGAATGAGTAGAGGAAGAAGAATTAGAAAAGGATGAGAAAGAAGAAGAAGAAGAAGAAGAAGAAGAAGAAGAAGAAACAAAAGAAGAAAAAGCAATTAATGATTATTACAGAGAAAGAAAGATTTAATATATTTGTCTAATGATTCCTTTCGATTAAACTGCATAAAAAGCTACGAAATAAAAGAAACCAGATCTCGTCAGAATCCATCTTACACATTTACAAATCTACCATTCATCCAAGCATTGAATACAGTTGCCATATCTGGCCTGGTTCTCCTGCTGTATATCAAGAGATTCTTGACAAAATCCAAAGAAGGATCTGTAATATTATCGATCCTGACCAGGCATCTTGCTTCAATCCCTTTCTCGCCGATGTGACGTGGCTTCCCTCTGTCTTTTTTACAAATATTTTCATCAAAACTGCTCTGACGACCATGGTGCCCTGAACACAAGAATTTATGCGTGCTACTAGATTGGCATCTAGATCCCGCACTTTTATTTTTGAAACTGCAAAATGCAAGCGCCACATGTACTCCAATTGTTTCTTTTCTCGCACTTCCCGCCTGTGGAACTGCCCTTCGGGTAGTTGCTTCTCTATATTACAATCTTGACAGATTTAAATGTTGCTATTTTCTGTTTTCTTGAATCCCGTTCATCTTTTTCCCTTTTCCTCAATTCTTATTTTATGTGTTCTCTTTCACTTTCACTCCCAGTAACATCCTGCATAATAGTAGCATTCCCGTCTTGCTTCGAGTGAAATGATTAAAAAAAATAGTTAAAGAAAAAGAAAAATGGCGTAAAGAATGGGTCATTAGGGCAAGTCGATTTTGGAACCGTAGCCTTGCATTGAATTTAAAAGTTTTAGCTTGACAGGATAAATAATGACACAAAATCTTTTTTCTCCAAATCGTTACCGTTTTTTTTTTTTTTTTTTTTTTTTTTTTGGTGAAGGGAGATGAGGCTAAAGATTAAGTTTCGGTTAAAAACTGTAGCGTTGGATTCTCATCCCTGTGATGAGGTGAAATTCTTATAGCACAGCTTTATAAAATCTGTTAATTTCCTGAAGCTTTACAAATTGTATATGGAAATTATGCTTAGCACAGGCACATTATAACTAAATCAGGGTGCCATCAAATGAGACCTTCCTGAAAAATGCTAATTGAACACTAGGGGTAGTTTGGAGACAGGCAAATTGAACACTAGGGGAAATTTGGAGACAGGCTAATTGAACACTAGGGGAAGTTTGGCGAAATGCTAATTGAACACTAGGGGTAGTTTGGAGACAGGCTAATTGAACACTAGGGGAAGTTTGGCGAAATGCTAATTGAACACTAGGGGAAGTTTGGAGACAGGCTAATTGAACACTAGGGGTAATTTGGAGACAGGCTAATTGAACACTAGGGGAAGTTTGGCGACATGCTAATTGAACACTAGGGGTAGTTTGGAGACAGGCTAATTCAACACTAGGGGTTGTTTGGAGACAGGCTAATTGAACACTAGGGGAAGTTTGGAGACAGGCTAATTGCACACTAGGGGTAGTTTGGAGACAGGCTAATTGAACACTAGGGGTAATTTGGAGACAGGCTAATTGAACACTAGGTGAAGTTTGGAGACATGCTAATTGAACACTAGGGGAAATTTGGAGACAGGCTAATTGAACACTAGAGGCAGTTTGTAGACAGGGTAATTGAACACTAGGGGTAGTTTGGAGACATGCTAATTGAACACTAGGGGTAGTTTGGCATCAGGCTAATTGAACACTCGGTGTATTTTAGCAGCATGCTTATTGAACACGAGGGGTAGTTTGGCAGCATGCTAATTGAACATTAGGGGTATTTTCTCAGAATGCTAATTGAACTCTAGGGGTTGTTTTACCGCATGCTAATTGAAATCTTGGGGCAGTTTGGCAACATGCTATTTGAACTCTTGAGGTATTTGGCAGAATATTAATTGAACAGAAGTGGTAGTTTGGCATCATGCTAATTGAACTCTTGGGGTACTTTGGAAACATATAATTGAACACTAGGGGGAGTTTGGCATCATGCTAATTGAACACAACTACTACTAATTTGGCAGCAGGCTAACTCTCACTAGGGGTAGTTTGGTAGCATGCTCATTGAACAATAGAATTAGTTTCGCAGCATGCTAATTGAACACCAAGAATGGTTTGCTAGAATGCTAACTGAACACTCGGGGTAATTTGGCAGCTTGCTAATTGAACCCTAGGTTTAATTTGGCATCATACTAATTGAAGACTAGGGATAGATTGGCAGCATGCTAACTGAACACTAGGTGTAGTTAGACAGAATATTAATTGAACATTAGGAGGAGTTTGGCAGCATTCTAATAGAACACTAGCTGTAGTTTGGCAGTATGCTAATTGAACACTAGGGGTAGTTTGGCAGCATGCTAACTGAAGGCTAGGGGTAATTTGGCAGAATGCTAATTGAAGACTAGAGGTGATTTGGTGTCATGCTAATTGAACACTAGGTATAGATTGGCACTATGCTAATTGAACATTAGTGGTAGTTTGGCAGCATGCTGTGTGAACACTAGGGGTAATTTGGGAGCATGCTAATTGAAGACCAGGGGTATTTTAGCAGCATACTAATTGAACACCATGGGCTCTTTGGCAGCATGCTAATTGAACACTAGAGGTAGTTTGTCATCAAGATGCTTGAATACTAGGGGTAATTTGGCATCGTGGTAAGTGAACACTAGGGTTAGTTTGGCTTCAGGCAAATTGAACACTAGGAGTAGTTTCGCCGATACTGCTACAAAACCGTCTTGTCATATCTTAAATAACCTCGTCATTATGTGACATCACTATGGATGTTATGCACGGCACCAAACTCGTTCAGAAATATGTAAACTGCACACAATTGTTTCCACTGAGCAGTGATTAAAAATGACTTCCAGCGAATGAACACTGTAGATCTTAGAAGATGAGCCTTAAATGTCTTCTAGAGAACCTTAAGGTTTGATGCTACTGAATAACAAAGACCTGTACCAAATAAAAGAATACTTTTTTCCTATTTCTGGCAATATATTTTCTTTTTCGAAAATGTATTGCCGGTAATAATATATGGCTGGTAATAATTATTTCCTTCAAAAATACATTACTTGTAATATTTTTTACAAAAATGTATTGCTGGTATTAAAACCTATTTTTACTCTTTAATAGTGCTTTGACCCCAGTTTATGGTTAAATATTTCCCATAGCTGGGACCCTAACAGGTGCTACCACCCCAGGTCAGGATATTCCTGGTAACACCAGCAATTACGAGGTAGTTCCACGCTCCTCAAAACCTCCTGATCAGTAGCCTTGCTGTTGGATTTGTTTATCGACTTACCCAGGAAGCGGATGCATTTTATCGTCACACCCAGGACGCGGATGTAGTTTATCGAGATATAATCAAGATGATGACGTTCCACACAACTAAAAAGAAAGGGTTTGCAAGAAAGTTCGCCTCAGTAATGGAAAAGTAATAATACTTCATCCGTCCTGATGGTGTCTCGCCTTGACGTGGTAGGACGACTTGCGTTCTTCAACGACCCTCAGAGCTATGTGAGTGGGGGCCAACGAAGCTCAACTGGTCTGTGTGGTAGGAGACAGACGAAGGACACACCCAGGGTCCTCTAGGTTGGGGGTTGTGTAGTAGGCTAACATCCTACTCACTTAAAAAAAAATAACTTGTTACAGAAACCTCAACGATATCTTCAAAGTGGAGCGTATGGCGCGTGTTGGTGAATATCCCCCGGGAAGGCAGCCGGCACGACATGGCCCAAGCAGAAGAGTATCGTGCGGAACCGCGTCCGTTGGAGAGGTCTTGTTGTGGCCCCGTTTCCCAAGGAATCAAGAGCCATAGAGAGAGAGAGGGGGGTATTTTTTATGGTTTGTTAAACTATTTTCATTTAGCTGAAGAGGATCACCCGGAACCGTGTCCGTTGGAGAGGTCTTGTTGCGGCCCTATGTTTCCCAAGAAATCAACTGGCATAATTATGATATGAATAACAAAACATGGACTTGCAAAACCTATTTTCCCGAAAAATATTTTAACTGATAGTAACATTGGCAATTCAATCAATGAATTTAGAATGCTTACACATGAAGAAACGCCTAATAATACCCTTACAATTACCATATTATGAAATCGTATACGAATTTGTATATCGGGATATTATAGATATTTTGCACTTGATGATACAACCATAGGTTTTTCATGATATATGTGTAAGTATATCCCTAAAGATGGGCATAACTAATTCTCTCTCGTTTACGCACATTTAATGGCTTCATCAAGAATGAAAATGATGTTTCTACAAGTTTTTCTTTTACACTTGTTTCGAAATTAGATATTAGCTATCGGCTGCGTAAGAAACAAACATCGGACGACCTTATTTGATTGTTATTTTCTGATTCTATCCATCTGAAAAACAATCAAGGTAACTCCAAACGTTAGAAGCCTTTTCAAAATAATGCTTTCTTAATGCTAAATGTGCTTTCACTACGCCGAAGAGAACCGAAGTCGACTGAAGCATTTCCATTGATCAAACAATGCGTTTCATCATGCCGCTGCGCCATTAAGGGAAGAGTGATAGTTGAAAAATAAATTTAATTAATTTTCTTATGAAAATTGATTAATAGGTATAAATTAATTATCGTTAAAAGCCTGTAAGAAAGAGCTGTCATGATAAAAACTTTCACAATTAAAATGATTCTCATTTTTACTGTCCGTTTCGTGTTTAAGATAAAATAAAAAAATTCTTATTATCTAAATATTATTATAATCTACTTTGATGTAATTGCAGATTAAACTTTGAACCGTTGTATCATAGAAATGATTAAAGATATCTTAGTGGAATTCTCCGAGGTTTTTATAACACTATTGGACTCTACTTTGAGAAATGTATAATTTCAGATAGCAACATTTAAATCAATCATTATTGGCCACTCTTAAAAAAAATGAAATAGCATATTCTGGTTAAATCCCTTTAAATGAAAACTTTACCGATAATCTTCTTTGGGAATGCTCAACGAAATGTCCGTATTTTTAAATTTCATGACTAATTTTTCCTCCTATTCATCGGAACCACAAGTTCACTTATTTCTCACAAAAGCGATATGTCCAGATGACCGAATTCAGGATTTATCTCCCTGTGTGATATCTCTTCTCCAGTTCCTTCTTTGGACATAAAACTGGTTTTCTATTTTCACTTCGATTTGATGTATTGGTTAACAAGCTTTAGGTCAAAATTAGAGAGCATCCTCACTGGATGCTCTCTAATTTTGACCTTGTGCCACATCTAAGATAAGCTTAGAAATTCCCTATATTGTATTTATGAATCTGTTCCATTTGTCAGGATATTAAACGAAGTGCAGAAGCATTTGAAACGAAGGAATCCATTGATCAGTTAATCTCATAATCAGTCTTGAAGATTAATTCTATATTATATTCATTTTTATTATAACTATCATTATAAATTTATTATAGGTGATAAGTAAATTGAATAAAGGTTAGCTTATTCTAAAGCAGTGTTTCTCAACTTTTTTCACTTCACTTTTAAAATGACTAAAACTTTGGAGGTGCATTTTGAATTTTAACAATGCAAAATTAATAAAATTTGAAAATATGCATTTTTGGTCGAGCATTCCCAAAGAAGATTATCGGTAAAGTTTTTATTTAAATGAATTTATGCAGAATCTGATATTTTTTTTTTTAGAGAGGCCTATAATGATTGATTTAAATGTTGCTATATGAAATTTGTGACATGTACTGACAATACAAACTATATTTTTACCTAAGAATCAATGTTCATTTAAACAGTTCCACCCTCCACGTTATATTGCGTCGCTGGTCTATTATAAAATTTAATATGTCTTCCTTCTGAAATAGATTTCGGTATAATTTGATGCCATAAATATTTAAACGCTCCAGCTGCCGCATTATTTTTTTCCCAATTTTTGTTATCTTGGTGGAAACGTGCCAAGTGTTTGAACAGACGGCAATTCATTGTGGAAAGATCACGTGAGCTTACTGGATGTGGCAAGATTCCATGCTCAACATCCGAACAGTTTTTTTCGTGAAGCGAGTTTTAGACTCCCATCGTGGAGAAGAATTAACCTATATCTCTTAACCAGTGCCAGCTATTTAAATTGTAATCTTATATTGCATTCTGCTGCGACTAATCCTTTTTTGTAAGATAAGAAAACTAATTGATTAACTCCTTCCATTGGTATTTATCATGGCACAGGAATTGAATGTGCCTTTTATGTGGGAATGTCAGCCTGCAGGCCCAGCCAAAAATCGCGTCATGACAACGAAAACCCTTCGGCGGAGCTTTGTATTGACAGAATCTTCCAGCTCACAAAGCGCAGATACTACACTTTGATAGCCACCGGGCCGAGCGGGTATTCTTTTTAACCACCTTCAGACAAAAACTTGTATTGTGGAATCTTCACATTCTTCTCTGAAAATGTATTCCTTTGAAAGCCTTTAACCAATCATCATCTCGTTTTTGCAAATCCAATCTTTTTATTGGTTAATAAACACCAAAGTGTAATAAAATTCCAAACGAATCCTATTTCCCGCCAAGATTTTTTTTGAGCCGATTTCGCTACACAAAAATTTATAAATTAACCGCAGCAGAATCATTTCAGCGGCGGATTATCTCCGTAACCCTGAGTTTTCAATTATCTGGCGATTGGCTAAGAATCGGCTGCCTTTCAATGACAAGACCTTCATATGGGCTTTGGCGGATTTGCCCGAATGTGAACGGTGTCACCTTGGTTTAGAGGAAACGGCTTCGCACGCCTTCTACTATTGTCGCGGGGTCCGCCCCTGATGGGACCATGTCAGCGAGTTGACGGCTCGTCTCGCGCCCGAAAAGCTCCTGCTCATTGATCGCGCATACGCGTGTGACAATGTGTCGCCCCCGTATACTGGGGTGAAACGGATGGTGTTTCATACGCTGCTGGCCACGGATCGAATGGTGATTTGGACGACGCGAATGGAGAAAGTCTTACGATGCAATCGTCTTTCTCATCAGGATCTGATCCGATTCATTGAGCATCAGCTCAAGATGAAGATTAGAACTGATAAAAAACGCTTGCATTCTACAGTCTTCAGCGAAAGGTGGGTGACTGAGGCGAGCTTGGCGTGTGAACGGGGCTAGCCTTGATTTTCTCTTTTAGGTCAAGCCTACGTCACATCGGGGTGGTTTCCTGTGGAGCCCTTCCCTTGGTTAGGCTAGACAAGCTTTGTGTACCGAGTTAATATGAGTAAGTGGTGTTCCTGGCCTGTTCCTGGCTGCCTCTTTGGTTATGATCCAAGTCGAGATTCCCAACCTCCCCAGTTTGTTTTGGCCCTCTTTTCACCTCGACTGGGTCAGCTTTTTATTCCCCATGTCCGTCTATACTTTCACCTTTCCCATTGCCTTAATGAGAAAGCTTCTTGACTTTGTCCCATAGGCAGAATACAGCGGCCTCTGAGTTTTTGAGGGTTAGATGGCCCTACTAACATCACTTATGCTTAGTTGATTTTGTGTTTATGTTTAGTTTATGTTGGGGTCATTACCTCCCCTTTCATTTTTCATTATAGATTATTATTATTATTTATTATTTATAATCATTAAATTTTTATGGAATGGGGCGCGTTTTGTAGGACCCCCTTGTGGGGATGCAGTATTATGGTGTATGGAGGATTGATTGGTGACCGACGAGTTTTTGTGATGAATGGGCAAATTGTAATAAGTGAATGGGTCGTGAATCGGATTAGCTAGGTATAAGAGAGTGATGACCAGCCTCAACCCTTCCCATTTCGGCCTTGTGCCATAAATGCGTAATTTTACACAATAATTAACATCAACGAGATTCTACCAAAATCCACGCGTGATAATTCCATTGACTCACACACCACATTGAAATCTCAACACATTCAACAAACATTCATCAACCATTGTCCGCGTGTTAACCAACATCTCCAGTTGACTTGAAAAATGAAACAATTTCGCTACTAAAAAGTAATTGTATATTTCACCAACTTAGCCTACACAGACAAAGGCAAGCAACTCTTGGTAACATTTATTCTTACTTGTAAATTACACGCGGACACACACTGATAAATGAACGAATATATATGATCTCTTTTTCCTTGCAGAAACCAAATCATTTTAAATTTCTTAACAGTCAAAAAGTACCAACATTTCTAAACAAAATTCCTGCACAAACATTCCTTATGACATTGTCTTAATTATCAAAACAGCAAACATTGTAATTGTCGTTACATGTATATTTTATTGTAGATATAAAAAGTTCTTTAATGTTAAATCTTTAACAACAGTATGTCGTAATTTCTTGCCATGTAATTTGTTCTTAAATTGTTTGTATAACCTATATGTTATGGTATATAGACGCTATACGCACGCAAAACCTTCATCTTACTTAATTTTGCCTTCTAGTATATTTCACTCCGTGTATATCCCGCAACAGTATCACGTAACCCAGTACAAGCTACTATTTTGTAAGAGGGGGCAATAATGATTGATTTAAATCCATTAAATAAGGCAAAAAGAAAATGATAATCCACTCCTTCTTAAAGATTAAGGAATTTAGTATCCAGTTTAAAATAACAGATTACAAAGACTTGACGTATACTTGGTGTCTCTAGCTTTTTAAAAATAAAGACTTTTTTAAATATAAAAATAATTCATAGATAACTCTTCTGTTAATGTGGTTCCATTCCAGGGCGCATTACTGGATAGAGGCGCCCCAGATGAGAATCTCTACTTTAATGGTTCTTTTTCGTAAACCGTAAGATGCAAATGAACGAAAATATTAAAATAATAGCCATGTTCCTAAATAGTATTAGACATTATACAAATGTCAATGACGATTCGTTCTTAAATTTCTAAACTATCATCTATATAGAAACTTTTCCCATCAATAATTAAAATGGGTTGAATCGAATAAATCCTATACATCTTAACCTACACAGACGAAACACCGGTTCTCGTTCGATCACCGAAGTTAAGCAGCGTAAAGTACTTAGATGGGGAGCGCTTGGGAACACCTGGTACTGTAAGCCCCCAAAAGTCTAACCCGTTTGTCAGAGCTATGCCGCCTGGAACTTCGTTCCTGGTTGAAGGCGGACAGGTCTGACACACGAATAAAATCAAGGGCGCCTGCATCTTAAGCTTCTGACGTCTTGTTCATCAGACCAAGCAAGAACGTTATCCTGGCACCCTATATTTGTCCCAGAATCTTCTTCATAACTGAAGCCGGCTCAATCCGCCCAGGGTGAATGCCGCATCAGTACGAGTATACATCTTAATGACGATTGTTCATCAGACCGTATAATCTGGCGCTATATTGTCAGACATCTGAACAGTTTTCGTTAAGCGAGTCGTAATGCCATCGTGGAGCCAGCTGTTTCTTAAATTGTTTAATGTAATCTTATATTGGGGTCTGCTCAGTCTTATCCTTTCTTTGTAAAATGAGAAAACTAAATGATTGTCTTTATCTCATTATCACGTCATGATAATTATCACGTAACGCTATCCTAACTGCTGATACGTTGTCGGGTCATCGGCGACTACACCGGTTCCTTTATCAGGAATTTCTGGTGATGAGGGTGGCTAAATGCACAGTTGGTATAAAAAAAAACGACCAGGCCATGTCAAAGAATGGATATACATTTCTGCAACGTCAACGGACATCTAGCCCAATAATATAGAATCTGCTCGATAGCTATGTATCCAATCAATAGAGTGATGACACGACATCGTTGGACGGAGGGCTGAAGAAAACAGCCAAGGTGGAGTGTTTCTCCGATGGAATAAACGACCACCTGCCGTAATCAAGACTGGCCTTCAAGATGGAGAACACTGGCTTTGGTTTAACCTGGAGAGTCTTCTTTGGTTCTAAATAACTTTTCATTATGCATCATCTCACTTCTCGTTTCTTCCGTGTACCTTCTTTCCTCGTTTCCAATGTCTTTTTTTTCTGATTGTAAACATGAGTTTCCTTGCAGCTGTCATTTTTCTATAGACTTCCTCGTTGTTCAAATGTTATTTCTATGGTATTCTCTGCCTCATTTTTCGGAGGGCCATCTAAGTCGCCTCTTCATCTGAGAGAAAATTGTCCAATCTTCTCTGCTATATAGAAGATTTGATTCTGTTTTATCCTTAAAGAGATTACAAACGGACATTTTTGGTACTCGAGTGAACGAACAGCAACAAGAGGGTAGATGAAAGAAGAGATGTTTATTGTAAAAGAGAATATACTATTGAAAGATAGGTAGGCTATAAATGCCCGAAGCAAGGATATTTACCTCCCCCGTCCCCGCGTGGCAGGATGTGGCACAAGACCGTTTTTAATGCGGCCTTAAAACCGACCCCGTAGGCTCGGGCAAAAATTTCCCGTAGACCCCGTATACACGGGGTCGGGTAGCTGTCTACCTCCCCAGACGTGACTCTGCCCTTCGGCATAGCCTCGTCTAGGTTCCTCTCTGCTCGAAGGAAGATAGTTCGTCCAGCACAGCCGGAGACGAATCTCCAACTAATCGCCGAAGCAAGGATATTTGTCAACCGCTCCACGCGGTAAGATGTGGCACAGGGCCGAATTTAACGTGGGTTATCCGAGCCTGTAGGCTCGGGCAAAAATTCCCCGTAGACACCGTATACACGGGGTCGGGTAGCTGTCTACCTCCCCAGACGTGACTCTGCCCTTCGGCATAGCCTCGTCTAGGTTCCTCTCTGCTCGAAGGCAGATAGTTCGTCCAGCACAGCCGGAGACGAATCTCCAACTAATCGCCGAAGCAAGGATATTTGTCAACCGCTCCACGCGGTAAGATGTGGCACAGGGCCGAATTTAACGTGGGTTATCCGAGCCTGTAGGCTCGGGCAAAAATTCCCCCCAGACACCGTATACACGGGGTCGGGTAGCTGTCAACCTCCCAGACGAGACTCTGCCCTTCGGCATAGCCTCGTTCAGGTTCCTCTGCTCGAAAGGCAGATAGTTCGTCCAGCACAGCCGGAGACGAATCTCCAACTAATCGCCGAAGCAAGGATATTTGCCAACCGCTCCACGAGGTCAGATGTGGCACAGGGCCGAATTTAACGTGGGTTATCCGAGCCTGTAGGCTCGGGCAAAAATTCCCCGTAGACACCGTATACACGGGGTCGGGTAGCTGTCAACCTCCCCAGACGAGACTCTGCCCTTCGGCATAGCCTCGTCTAGGTTCCTCTCTGCTCGAAGGCAGATAGTTCGTCCAGCACAGCCGGAGACGAATCTCCAACTAATCGCCGAAGCAAGGATATTTGTCAACCGCTCCAGGTCAGATGCGGTCAGATAACGTGGGTTATCCGAGCCTGTAGGCCGGGCAAAAATTTACACCGTATACACGGGGGTCGGGGGGTCAACCTCCCCAGACGAGACTCTGCCCTTCGGCATAGCCTGCTCAGGTTCCTCTCTGCTCGAAGGCAGATAGTTCGTCCAGCACAGCCGGAGACAAAATCGCCGAAGCAAAGATATTTGCCAACCGCTCCACGCGGTCAGAGACACCGAAAAACGGCCCATAGGCTCGGGCAAAAATTAACCGTAGACACCGTAAAAAACGGGGTCGGGTAGCTGTCTACCTCCCAAGACGAGACTCTGCCCTTCGGCATAGCTTCGTCTGGGTTCCTCTCTGCCCGAAGGCAAAGCGTTCGACCAGCTTAGCTAGAGACAAATCTCCAACTAATTGCCGAGGCAAGCTCCCAGATATATCCTGTCCGCACTATATATAGCTACTGATATAGTCAGTCCACATAGGCGATAGGGAGTGTGGTACATTCTATTACAACAGATTCTTACAGTTCAACACTATTGTCTTTGTTTCTAACGAAGTTTTCTCATCTCTTATTTCATTACTTATTTTCTGAAAGGCATCTTTCCTTATTCTAATGTGTCTTCGCATTTCTATGTCACACTTTTCGACGTCTGTCACAACACTACACAGCGAGTCAAATTCTTGTAAATGCTTTATATTACTGCTCATAATGCTCAACTCACACATTGGTCATGTATATGTACAACGAAACGATTTCTTCGTTCTAAAAACATAAATAAAGTTATATAATTAATACTATAAATAAAGTTCCTCAGAATATTTAGGTTGGTTGGTTTGTTGGTTGTTTTGTTTTATGACATATCAAAACCTCAGTGGGTTATTTAATGCTAACAAATTTTTTGAAATAGATTCATAGCGATAGATTGGTAAAAAAAATAACTGTGTATGTATACATATATATTTGAACCATTTTTCAATTACTCATATTTTTGAGTACAAGCCAAATTATTTTAGGAAATTTACATTCGTAGATGGTTTAATTTTCGTAAAAGGTTTTTTATTTACTCTCTTGGTAATATTTTGTTCGGACTACATCAAAATCTACAAACTCTAACAGTATATGTTTCACTGTAAATTTTTATTTTTATTTTTCCTTCAAAAATTATTGCTGATAATAATTTTTATTACAAAGTATTTCTGGCATTAAAATCTATTTTTACACAAGTTTGCCCATAGCTGGGACCCTAACAGGTGCTACCACTCCGGGAACACCAAAAATTAAAAGGTGGTTCCACGCTCCTCAAAACCTCCTGATCAGAGGAATTGCTGTTGGACGTAGTTTATCGTCTTACCCTGGACGCGGATGTAGCTTATCCTCTTACCTAGAACGCGGATGTAGTTTATCGTCATATCCAGAACCCGAAAATAATTTGGATTTTCTGTTTCTTAATAGGGTCAGAAACAGAAATCATAAGTCTTGTCACTAAATAGAAAGAGTAAAGAATTCTTAGACTCCAAGAAAAATGTTCATCCCAGTGAATGCTGGACAATCTCCTATTTTTACACAAGTTTGGATGTATTTGCCCATAGCTGGGACCCTTATAGGTGCTACCACCCCGAAACGGGGCCGACCTGGGAACACCAAAAATTAAGTGGTTCCACGGGGATATTGAGGTAATTGTCAGTGGTGTTACTAAACAGTGTTCAAGACTAGCTGAAAGTCAAGACTTAGAAACAATAGTAATACAAACGAAAAACCATAGGATAAAAAAGAAAGCTTTAAGATATAAACATAAATACACCAAAAAATCATTTCAAGATGAGCAGGATATATTTCAATTAACTCTTTTGAAGTGGTTAACATTGTTGTATTTAGGAAGCACCCACATGGGACTTTCTTCTGCAACGTAGCAGATCTCGAGGAAAAAATTATCAGTGGAACTTGCTCCTTACAATAGGTGGGGAGAATATGGGTGATCATTCTCCGTGGACGTAGCTATAAAGATTTGAACTGATGGAAAAAAATAGCGATAGAGTAGCGATATACTTTCCTGCATCGGAATGACGCTATAAAGGGGAAAATCTGCCATCACATATTAAGCCGGGTAAACGGTTTTAAAATCTATCAGAGCTGGAAAGGAGAGACTGGGCAGCTTCAGACCGTATATTACAGCGATACGCCATTTTTGTTTTTAATCTGATTCTTGTGAAGATAAAGGATGGTTGAATCGAGGTATTAATTGAAGCGATAGAATGTAACGCTATCTTCCTGGGGTCGTATATTTGATCTCTTGTTAACATTAGTTAATATTTTAACATGAACTTTAAGGCAAATACATATTAACAGAAGTATAAATAGTTAGTTTATTTCTCACTGCACACCCTATAATTACTGGAGTGATAATGAACATGAAAGTTTCGTAAAGTATTCGCTGTTAGATTTCCCTTCGTAGTATAATCATCAACCCTGACATAGAGGAAATAAAACGAACAGAAATCTGATAGCATCAACTCGAGTTTGTCTACAGATTGTGCAACAACTGTGCATTTCACTTACCATGTTATTCACACATTTTAATGCCTCTTCTGGATGAAATACCTTAAAAAAAAGAATACATACATACATAAATAATACCTGGCCACTCGTATTCGAGGATACCCGTCTACTAGAGCTGCTAGCCAATCCCTATTGCAGACGCTCGCTCAGTCACAGAGCCCAACTTGTGGTTTACACTGCAAGTATGCTGGGCAGAC